AGACTGTCAGCTGCTTCACTGCAGATGCGACTGCAGGGTCACAATGTCTTGGCTAATTATTTCGCCTGCAGCTGTGATTCGGCCGCGATTGAAGCCACTGTGAGCAAGATATGCAAATTGATTACATGTTAACGCCAATCTAAAACCCGTGTCCCTTATATACCCATAGTTTACCCAGTACAGCTGTTAAGTTACCTAGAATGCGCATCAACTTCGACAGCACCCGTGCTATCTCCAAATTGGTCCACCCGCGCTTTGGCAAATTTACGTGCGCTGACTCTATGCTCGAACAAAACATCCAACTCTCCATAAGTCCTGCCTTTTGGTTCCGGAAGACGGAAATATGCCCAAACCATGATGAGAAAGCAAAACGCCGCCCAGAAAAGACCTGTTTTCGCACCCCAGTTCCATGCATGTACACCAAGCATTCTTGGCATCAGCGTATTATTTACCAGCCCTGCCATATTATTAAAGTTGCGCGCCAATACGATCGTTTTCGCCTTCAATCTTGTGGACGGAATTTCTGCGACGATGGTGTAGCAGACTGGTCCCACGGCTAGATCGTAGACAAAGGTATAAAAGATGAGGAGGCTGCCGATCGCCCATGAAGGGCCTGTTTTGCTTTGAGGTGCGAATCCAAGGCCTCCGACTACTAGAAGGATTATGAAAAGCGATGTTGTGCCGGCGATGTACAGCGCGCGACGTCCATATCTCGCCATGAGGAACCAAGAAAGGATGACGCCGATTGCACCTACAGAGTACTGTACAATGTTAAGAGTAAACGCGCTGTTTGACGAGAGGCCCGCGCGCTCATAAAATTGAACTGAATACCCCATGAGAACGCTGCCGCACATGGCTTGCGCGACGTATGTGATGGACGCAATCTCAGTCCGTCTCAAGTCAGCTCTCATGAAGCAATGCCAATAGTTAGTGCCTGCAGATGTAGCTTTTTCAAGCTCATTCGTCTCATGGATCATTGAGACTTGCGCATCGGCATCAAACTTGAGATCCGGCTGAGGCGTGACGAGGCCTAGGATAGCCTTCTTTGCATCTTCGTGACGGCCCATGCGAACCAACCACCAAGGCGATTCTGGCGCAAATATCGTGCCGAGGATGATGAACGGTGGCCACATCCATTGCAACGCGAATGGAACGCGATATGACCACTCATTATCTAGATTGAGAAGTCCACGAAGGACCCCGGCTGATATCAACTGCCCGACAACCCAGCAGAGATTCACATATGCCGTGAGATAAGGCCTGAGAACCACGGGAGCGATATCAGATGCATATGCCAACGTCAAGGTCTGAAAGACACCCCATGGAATGCCCATCAGAATCTGACCTGCAAGGATCATCTCGATATTCTTCGCGAAGAACACGATAAACGTGAAAGCGACCATGATAATCTGCGCCAGTATCATAGTCTTCTTGTATCCAATCGCATCAGAGACCCAGCCATTGAGATATAGCCCGAAGATCTGCCCGCACATGCCGCCGACTTGGATGTACGTCTGCCAATCCGCAGAGATAACCATGCCGCCATCGGGATCTGGTTGGTTGCCATACTTGTTGCGGAACCTAAAAAAGCAAATTAGCGTTTTTGCCTGCCGTGGGAACAGGGAATAACGTACGATTCATATCCGTAAAAAGAGCCAATGAGAGCCATGTCGTAGCCTTCCATGATAATTGCCATGGAGAACAGCAGTGAGAAGCCAATGGCCTTGGGGTAGAGACGCACGGCGTCGCGAAAGGTAAGCTCGTGCTCTAGCGCCGTGGCGGCGCTGGCTTCTGCATTGTGGGCTTGCCTCTTCGGTTCATCAGCGGGAATATGCTTGACCTTTGATGACGGCTTAGAAGCCATTGTGATGGTATTGGATGGTGACACGGTGTCCAGGGACGCGTTCTCGTCGCCTTGGCCCATGTTTGAGGTTAAAGTTCGAGACACTAACGGTGCCTCTTTGATGGACAGTTAAGCTAGGGTATGGTACTATTCTCCGAGTGGCAGTGGCTTACGGGAAATCTCAGCCAGTTCTCGGGGTTTTGGGGCTCCAAATCCGTGACCAGTGGGTCGAGCTCAGCTGCTGAGGTCTTTAGGCGCGAATCGTCATCCCATAAACTCGAGATCTGGCTCGTTCGTCGGTCCGGGGAAGGCAGAATCTCGTGTTGCGCGTCCCGAGATATGCTTTTGAGGGGCGCTTGTAGGCTTGATGGGTCTGGGGGATGGAGATGTCGATGCAGGCCAAGCAAAAGCTGGGGTTAAGGAGAGAGAATCTGGGGCTGGGGGGCGAAACTAACGGGGTCGAGCTCGTCGGTCCGACGGGATCTTGGCCAGAGTCCTTCATAGACGTCTGTGGTTCCTCAGACTGTCGGACCGAGGTGCCAGGTTTAACTGCATTGGGGGTCTGGGCTTCGTGGAGAAGTCCGTAGTGTTGCACATGACCATTTCAGAAGAGTTGTATTGTTTGCAGAAGTAGTACCCTAAGCCGAGGGAAATAAGGGTTTGGACTAAATTGCACTGAATGCTATGTGCTAGCTCGTGATTATTCTACTCTTTTAAGCTATGCTTGCATAATTTTAACCGTACCTGGGATAACACAAGATGTTCCAGAAGATACAAGCAATAAACAAGCAAATAATGTATCCAATTGCGCAAATCCCGTTATGCCCACCTTAAAGGTATTTACACTCTTCTGAGAGCAATAGGATAATCTAGTCCTTGTGGGAATGGAAGAAGGGAAGAACAAAAGGCTAAGTGATTGGAATCCCAAGCCTAGGGTAAGTCGAGCCGGTAACGTTATTCTAGGATTGCCCTTTGAGAAGCGCTTATCTTATCAGAGATAAGACTATGTTATCTTATCTCTCTTATCATCATGTAGTCTTTCGCCAAAGACCTAGAGCAAAATCTCGAGATACAGAAATAAAGGTGGTAAACATTCAGACGATAACTTTCCTTTCACAACTCACACGTTAGCAACACAAATTGTTCGACAGCTACTGTTGACCATCGAAGCTGCTTCCAGAAACGGGAAACGTAGGCTACCAACGGAGTCAGTCTTCTACAGTTACACCAGAATCAACACGATGAGCTCTAGTAACTACGCTATGCAGCCATCTAAGTGTGAAATAATTCCGATAGACACCAAAGTAAGACAAAAGAATCGACGAACTTGGATCTCTAATTCCAGGCAGTGCTTTTCGAATCGGTAACCAGTAGTGAATATCATCTATGCTTTCTCAATGTTTTTGGAGTCCACATTCGTGCCTTGTAGCACTGCGGGATATTGACGAGATTTGTTATATCATGCATAGCATCGGAATTGGTTTGTATTCTATATTCTGCCAAGGCATAGCTGTCATCTGTGCTGCGAACAGTTGGTTGGCTTCACAACCGTCTGCAAAAGTGTACGTAACGTTACCAGCAATAAGATACAAAAGTCCATACAGCTGTTATGTCCTGGCGAAAAAAAGCATTGTAGAAGTAGAAAACAGTCAAGTACAGCTAATATTCCTTGGCAGCATTCCTGCAACCCATACTATATAGACATAGTGAACTATGAAGAGCATTTCTCCTAAAGAATCAGATCGCATCTAGATCTTGACACCAGCAGTGACATCCTGACAGGCATGTTGGGCCTGAATTGGGTGCCCTAGAATGTTAGTCTCCTAGTCGCTGGTGGCTAGTCTTTCGTGTAACTGGTCTGAGACATACCGGAACTTCAAGGACGATGCTGATTAGCTGGAAAGACTTCACGGCAAGGCCGAAGCTCGATGCTGATTTCGTCAAACAGAGTAGCGAAAACAGAACAGAGTTGATTCGCGGGATGAATGTAGAGCGGAAATCATATATCATGTGAAAAGATACAGCGGTTACATTGTGATCGCCACCTTCTCGAGATATTCCCGGATTGCTAGCCTACCTAGAGATCACAGCTCTTCGTTGCGAACATTAGTTATTGAATTTCTTAGAATAGGGAAAAAGAGAGGATCTAGCGAACTGGTCAATCAAGTAGCATCACGGTTAAGTGGCTGTATTCCGATGTCAACCCTGTGCCTGGTCCTTGCTGATCGGCAGCAGCCGTTAAGGTTACCACGAGGAGACCATTGCCTCGGGTCGGCTCAATGCCAAGGTTCCACATGGATGTCACAATTTACATATCCACACTTTAATTACTTGCATACTGACAGCATTTCCTTGATTCCTTTTGGCGCGACGAAGTTCATCGGCATGTTCCCGTGGCTGATTTTGTACTAGTCTACGGAGTTTTGTGGGCGGCACGATCGTTGGTCTCACTTTAATTACAATGAATTGCCCTCTTGCGGTTATGGCTTACTTTTTAAGTTGAGACTTTGGAATTTCCCGTAGATGAGAGATATTACATGTAACATACCCATTCGTTGTCCTGCCAAGACATGAGACGGAACCAGAGATATGTCACGCTTGTGATATTGCATGGAGATTGAGAGCCTGTATAATATAGTTACTTGGTTGCCTAGGTGCCGGAAGGGGTTAAGTCATATGCTTTGCCGTCAAAGATCACGGAAGCAGAAGAGATCGAGGACTATCTAGATCGCGATATTCGATCGAAAATACAGAGAAATAAGTATAAAGATCCCCATGATCTCCTTTAACAAAAGAACTTTCCAAACCAACAAGTCACATACACTCAACAATACCTACTTAAGACACTCTTCACTCCAAATCTATACAAAGACTTTTACAGAACATGGCTGTGACCTTCACGGCAAGCTTGCTCCTCCTGTCCGCAGGCAAGGCTCTCGTTTCAAGTGGAATCTCCTGGGCCATCTCTGAAACAGGCAGTTAGGCGGCTGGCCGATTCCTCGACCATCTGAATTCGGATCCCAATACCAAAGTCACCAGAGCCGACATCTACGGAGTTGTGCGAGAGATGCAACTCATCCAGTCATCTCTGGATGATCTCACCGACACTCTCTCCAACGGTATCATTTCGATACGTCTGGATACCTTGAATCAGCCAATGGCTCAGATTCAGGCTCACTACAAGACTGTTGCGGATATCTTAGATACCGCTTATGACATCGCAGAGCGAAACATCACCGACTCAGAGCGTGAGAATCGAATGAGTAGCCTGCAGCAGCGGCTCGACAACAGACTCCAAGCATGCGCCAATAGCATCCCTGGATGGCTCACCCAGATCCAAAACTTCTTGAATGCCAATGGTGAGAGAGCTTTTATGCGACAGCTCTCTCAGCAAGCCTGGAACGAGTCCCCTGATCTGGTAGCCTACTACAGTAGATCAAAGACCGTTGTAAGTATAAATAGCCCAAACTGATGAACTACAACTAACATGTGTAAAGGTACGTGACTATTGGATCACAGTTTCTAAGGGTATCGATCTTCTTCAAATGGCCCATGGAGCACAAGGTGTCAGATTTGATGAAGGACAACGCGCCATCGACCGGCATATCCGCCAACTGCTTGATCAGGAACGCAACTTCGCCCGATTCATCGGAAATGAAACCATCAGACTCGCTGAGACCATCCTCATTGATCCCGCCAGCCCTCACCCGTTCTTCTGGGAGACTAATCAGGATACCTATGCCGCTGCTGAGGATGTCGGTGCTACCCAAACCCGCATCAGCGTAAACACACGTACCCCTGTCGAATGGCGAATGGATCCCTGGCCTCCCGTCAACCTCGAGACTTTCGACCCTCTTAGGGGTTACCCTGTCGCTATTAATCAGGTTGGACAGCGTGGTATTGTGTGCCCTGGTGGACGACATGGTTTGGCTCTTGAACCCTTCGCACGACCTACTTGCACTTGGTCCATTAAGCCCCGCGAGCCTGGAAACAACCGTTACTCGTTCAAGTTCATCAGCGGCCTCGTTAGACAGGCCAATAACGGCTATTACATGATTACTCGGCCGTCTGCTGGCGTCCCCGGAAGGATCATGTCTCTTCTCACGCGTTTGCACCGCGAGGATGGAAGTCACTTCTTCTATGTCAAGCCTCAAGGACTTGCTGCCACATCCTAGGAGCCAAAGGTGTCACGTTAGAGTGGAAGTTGATATCAGGTTTAAGCATCGAAGACGATTGTGAAACACCTCTTTCTGTTCAAATGGTATTTCTAGTCTCCCATAATCTTACTCGTACCTATTACTATTCAAATATACACTGATCTTGAAATCCCGGAATTATGCCGCAGTGAATCTACCTACGTTGATGGGTTCTGAGTCCCGATCCCCAAAATATAGGATAATTATTGCTTGTTCGGGTTTCGGCATTAAATTTAGATCCGTTACGCTACAATGGCAGCTACAGCGTGACTTTAGAATTCTAGACCTAATGATCAAGACTGAGGCTAACAGAGCTTATTTGATTGAAGCCACCTGTGGCTTCAGTTTGTCAGCTGCCCTCATAGAACTGTTTTCAGATTCGGCGGTCTGCGGATCAATGATTCCGGCCGTTCGGAACAAGTTCACTGCATTGTGGCATTGCTCTAAACCGCTATTAGCCACGCTAGGAGATCATGACCCAACCGCGTGTTGGTAGATAAGTCGGCTATCATTTCCCCAGGCTTGGCAAGATAGCAACCCCTCCGGATGAGATCCGGCCGAGATATGATTCAGCGTATCACTCACTAGCTTCCCAGTGGTCTCTGATAGTCTGATAGTGAAATGACAACGAAGGTTCAACAATATGACGGAGGGTAAATAAATATTGATCCATTGACCCATAACATGTCCACCGATCAATAAGTTACATTAGCAACGATGGATACCAATAACTCCGACCAAAAGAAGAAGCTCAGCGTCGAAATGGAACAAATGAACCAAGACGACAAGATCACCAATGATATCCTCTCCGGAGAAGTCCTCGACGCCGAAGATGAATTCTCAGACATATACTACCGCAAACTCCTCTGGAAGATCGACCTTTGGCTCCTCCCACTTATGTGGGTATGCTACGGCACGCAACAAACCGACAAAACATCCTTGAGCGTTCAAGCTGTCTTTGGCATCCGAGAAGACACAGGTCTTGTCGGAGAACAATTCAACTGGCTCAGCACAGTCTTCTACCTGTCCTATCTCGTCTGTGAAGCCCCAGGAAACTGGCTGATGCAGAAATGCCACACCGGCAAGTTCTTGTCAATTGTCATGGTGCTTTGGGGTGTCGTTGTTTTGTGCATTGCCTTTGCCAAAAACTTCGCGCACCTCATGGTCTTGAGAGCTATCCAGGGTGCGCTTGAGTGTACCATATCTCCCACCTTCATGCTCATTACTGGCGCATTCTATACCTCCCAGGAACATACACTTCGATCTCTGATCTGGGGTACTTCTAACGCTGGAATGAACATCCTCGCCGGGTTGAGTATGTACGGAATTGGCCTTCATGCTGAGAAGTACCCTGGAGGTCTGGCTGCTGTAAGTATCCTTCTATCTGGTCAGACAGGCTATGCGACACCGTACTGATCATATCCCCAGTGGAAAGGGATATCTTTCCTTCTCGGAGCCTTGACCATTACTTGTGGTATACTTGTATGGTTCATCCTTGGAACTCCCCGCGAAGTACGATGGTTGAGCCAAGAAGAGAAACGCGCTGCCATAGCTCGTGTTATGTCTAACCAAACTGGATCCGATCGTGAAAAGAGATCCCAGTTCAAATGGGACCAGGTCTGGGCCGCCTTCAAAGGTTAGTCTCTGCCATGTAGAAGTGCCTTCGATCTAACATTCTGCTTTAAAGATCCACAAACCTACTTCTTCTTCTTTATTACCATCATCAATGCCCTCCCTAACGGTGCCAACACGACATTCTCGAAGCTCATTTGGAAGTCGTTCGGCTTCACGCCTCTGGAGACACTGCTTAAAGGTTCCACCCCGTACTACTGCGTCAGCATTTGCTGGTTCTTGGTTGTCGGATATGTGACCTTGAAGAAGCCTAATATTCGATGTGAGCTCCCCTAGCAGTATTACTGACTCTGATCTAATAACTGTAGTCCTCATGATGATGTTCTCCCTTGTGCCAGCATTTTCAGGAATGATGGCCCTCGCCTTCCTGCCCCAGGACAGCATGAAATGGACGAGGTGGGGCATGTATATTCTACAAGTCTTTGGATCACTCCCTGGGCTTAGTAAGTCTCGCAACATGACTAGGTTTCGTCAGCTAACTTGCTGTACTAGTGATCTGGACGTTTCTTCCTTCCAACGTTGCTGGTAGGACCAAGAAGACTGTCACCGCTACTACAATCTTCATCGCATATTGCGTTGGTAACGCAGTTGGGGCACAGATGTTTGTTGCCTCTGACGCTCCGAGATATATCAGAGGTCTGACCGCCTGCGCCATCCTCTACTGTGTCGAGTTCTTGAGCATGGCTTCTTGGAGATTCTACTGTAAGCAGACAAACCTCTCTTGGCTTCATTGGCTAACATGTCGCACTAGATATCTGGGAGAATAGACGCCGTGCAAAGCTCATTTGTGAGCAAGGTATCTCGGAGGAAGAGAGCGAACGGCTGGGTAGGCTCAACGCTGAGTCTGATATGACTGACCGAGAAAACATTCACTTCAAGTACAAGTATTAAATTTTGGAATGGTTGATGATGTACAAAAGTGGAGGAGATTGAGATTAAGAGAGTTAGAAGAGACAATAATTATCAGGTAGCTGTCTAGGTAACGAGAGAAAATGCACCTAGCTATGAGCCTTATGCTCCACGATATACCATAAAGAGTCTCTGGATCGAGTAAGGTGAGTGACCACAAGTTCAGGATACCGAAGCATCTTTGCATTCTGATCTGAGTTATTCCAGTATCTTAAAGCCTAATTCTAGGAATGTCACAGGTCGCCCAGTTCCGTCAAGTCGGAGATGGTTTCCATCACGGCATGTAACATCAACTTTTGATAGTTCAGGCTCGCCTTGAGCACAAAGGAGATTCTGTAGCCTGGTAAGTGCGATTTTTAAATTGGTGTTCTTTTCATCTTCAATTTACCTCAATAACTCGATATCTCATTCTTCGCTGCCACTAAATATTCTGCCAATGTCTATCAACTCTTCCCAACGACTATCCTTCTGGACCATGATTCTACCCTCGGGATTTATAACTTTGATGTCATCAACTGAATGAGTTCCATAGTCGTAGTTATTGTCTCCATGAACAAAAGCACACAGGATCTGAATCCAATCCTTCATCAATTTCCTTTCGTCTTCTGTTGGGCCATGCGTTATTGTAAAGCTTAGTTGTTAGCAAAGAAGTATGTAGCCATTTGTACCAGCGAACTCACTTCCAGAATGGTTTGTCCATAGCATGAGCCACTCCGAACGAATATGGAGCCACCTTCTCGTCTATGAAGGACAGTCGATAGGCTATTTGGTAACGCCAGATGTCCTGAATATTCACACTGTTTGCTGACAAACTCTGAACAAGAGACCTTGATGGAGCTCGAACCTGGCCGTCAGATATAATGTTTCCTGACGTGAGTTTAGCTGGAGGATCTGAGAATTGGGTCGATGATCGCCTACCAAATAATATTTTCCAATTCTCCAAATCTTGAGATACCGGCATGTCATAGCGCTTTATCACTCGTTCGGATACTTGAGGTGAGTAGTAGTTCATGACCTGCATCTTTAGTGCATCAATACTCGGTTCAGTCGGACTGTTGTAAACCGAGTAAAGCGTCTCCTCGTTGGCGACTTCACCGATCAAGATCTTATAGCCTCTTGACTTGAACTCGTCGGCAAAGTCTCTGCTACTAAGATACTCCATCATGTTTGGGTGAATAAACAGATGGTCAGTAACAGGCCGGAATGTGTGATGCTTCAGTTTGGGGATAGCTTCAATGAGATCCTGGGTTGTGACCTGCCGAAGACGAGCAAGTTTGTCCTTCGCAGAATCCCCGTCATCGATGTTGAATAATCGACAGACTTCTTCAAACTGAGGCATGGTTTCCTGAAGTGACTTTGGTTGTGCAGGAATGGCGTTTGAGTTCATAAAAATACGGCGATATAAAGATGTCTTAGGTCCTGACTTCCGAAACTCGTGCAACATCTGAGCCTCAACGCTATATGCACCAGCGCTTCGGCCAGCCAGAGTGATATTCTCGGGGTCTCCTCCAAATAGTGAAATATTTTCCTTCACCCATTCAGCTGCCATTCGCTGGTCCCAAAGGCCATAATTGCCTGCTGAATCACCCCGGCTTTCTTCGAGAAGGGCCTCTCCAGCGAGGAAGCCAAAGATGTTCAGTCGATAGCCTATAGATACTATAATAGCCTTAAGGCCGCCGGTAGAAATGAGTTCCGTCGGGTCCATGCCTGGGTCTTGCGAGGGGTCGCCCATTTGGAACCAGCCACCATGCAACCATAGCATGACAGGCCATTTTGAGGTCTTCTCGTCAGCAACGGGCGTCCAGATGTTCATGAATAAGCAGTCTTCGCTATAAATACCATCACCTCCTTCGGCCTTTCCAACATGGAATGCCTTTTGTGGACATATGGCCTTGAATCGAGTCGCATTGAAGGGACCATCTTCACCGTTTGAATAAGTGTACGAAGGTGGCAGAGGCCTCGGTTTGCGCCAGCGGTAGTTGCCAGTTGGTGGAAGCGCATACGGAATGCCAGCATATCTTCGAGATTTCTGATCAGATTGAATACCGCGAATCTTGCCCTTGTCACCGAGATTCAGGTCGTAGGTCTTTTCGTCGTATGAAATGGCGTTTCCCATGTTGACGGATTGGGTTTGTCGCTTGAAATTCTTTGGTCTGGGCGTCAATCAAGAGGTAGACTAGATTTGGAGAAGCCTACGACTCATACTTTCTGTTCTGGCATGCTCCGCTTCCGAGATCCGCCCGGCTTCGGCCCCCATTTGCCTATCTTACCATCAACTCCACAGTTGATCGGATCTCCGCCCGATATCAACGGGTGACCTTTGACTCTATTTGACACTCTTATTTCAGCCCATTTCTTAGTTTTACAATCTACTACAGCTTAGAGTATCTTATAACTCGAAGGCCAATAACAATAAGTCTTATTTTTCACTTACAACGACAATGGGTAGCATTAATCACAAATTCCTTCCGATAGACCTTTCTCATCATATCAATGCAAAGAGCAAAGCGCGGCATCCCTCGCCCCTCAAAGACATCATTCGATTTATGGGCAGGGATGGAATGATAAGCCTAGCGGGAGGTATCTGTGTCCCGTTCCTTAGTTAGCAGATTCCTTCGACTAAGGTTATTTCAGGCCTACCTCATCCATCTCTATTCCCAGTTGAACGAGCAAACTTCGAATGTCAGCCACCATATACCGAACCTTCTATCGAAACTCCACTGGTTCAACTTGATATTAAACGTGGACTGGATGGTGGCAGGTTGGACCTGACCGAGTTCCTGCAATATGGTGGGCCCATGAGCAACGCGATAACACCTCTTCCGCCCTACTAACCTTCCAAAGGCTCCGGTGCTGGTAACCAGAAGCTTGTGAGTTTAGTAAGAGAGCTCACTGAGCGTATGCATGCTCCTCCTTGCGAACACGAATATCTCCTGCACCCTGGAAACACAAATGCATGGTCCAAAGTCGTTGGCCTTCTTTGTGAGGACAATGACTATGTGATAGTTGACGAGTTCACTTATCCATCCGCACAAGCTTTGTGGATTCCGTTGGGTATCAGAGCAAGTCCTGTATTAGCCGATGAACAAGGAATGTCTGCCACAGGACTGCGAAAGATGCTGACAAACTGGGATGAAACGTCTATGGGTCAAAGGCGACCCCGGCTGTGGGTCAACATGAGCAAACTTTGAACAAATGTTGACAGTTACCTACAGCCTATATCTTGTTCCCGTGGGCTCAAACCCAACCGGTGTCACGATTTCAGCTCAGCGGCGAAGGGAAATCTACGAAGTTTGTGTCGAATTTGGTGGGTAAACGGTTCATAAGAGCTGTCCTCGATCTTACTAACCTTCTAGATATCATTATTGTCGAAGACGACCCATACTACTGCCTTCAGTTCCCAAAGTCCACCAGAAAGGAGCAGACCTTCGCGCCTGTGTCAACTAACAAGTTTCTTGAATCGTTGATACCCTCTTTTCTCTCGATGGATACTCAGGGACGTGTGATACGTCTCGAGTCATTCTCAAAAACCCTCTTCCCTGGCCTCAGGCTGGGCTTCTTCGTGGCAAATTCAGTGTTTACAGAGAGGTTGCTGCGGGTCACTGAAGTTGAGACTCAAGACCCAGCTGGGCTGAGTCAAGCATTGACATTGGCGCTCTTCCAAAACTGGGGTATTGATGGATATTTAACATGGCTTCAAGGTCTCCAATTTCAGTACGGAACCAGACGAGATTGGCTTGTAGCAGCCTTCAAAGACCTCTTCAGAGTTCTACCGGCGGCCAAATCCCCAGTGCCACAGGCTCAAGGCAATGTTGCTTGCATCTTAGACTCGGAGGGGAAGCTGCTACCTGTCTTCAGTTACATCGAACCTGAAGCCGGGATGTTTGTCTGGGCAAAGTTCTATTTCCATGGAGTCCGTCGGTTCATTGAACTTCGGGATGGAAAGATAGAGGACCCTGAGCAGGCCTTCGCCGCTGAGCTTTGGGAAACCTTGGCAGAGCAACTAGTCCTTCTGACGCCTGGGTCTTACTATCACGCTTGGCAAGGCCACGACAAGACTTCCACTGCAGCTAGAGGGGCCGATCCAGAGTCGGCATTTTTCAGATTCTCGTTTGCAAGTCCATCGGTGAGATTAACTTCCTCAGTTTCGCAGGATATAATTGCTGACCCTTTATAGAAAGAACAGATTGAAGAGGGAGTCAGACGCATAAAAAGCGTTGTAGGACAATTTTGGGATGGTTCAACATAGGACTTTTATCCAGCATCTTGACTTTCATTCCATGCTGTCTATGCATCCCTTCGAGGGCTATCAAACAAATGTTCCCCAAAAGTTCTCAAAGAATCCCTGGGATAGGTCTAAGCTGGCCAGATCAAGATCGGGGTTCTGAAATAGTATCTGAAAATCGATGTTCATTTGTTGTCCCTCTTGGTTATCATGAAAGCTCCGCAGTACCTCCTCAATGATGATCTTCCCCCGGTTAGCACCGGACCAGGTTACCTCCAAGTCTCCTAGAAGCTGAATGCAGAGCTGTAAGTCATCATCTTCTCGTATGCTCTCCGGCTTCGTCATTCGTAACCTGTCAAGATCTTTGTCAGAATTTTATGATACCTTCGTTCTAGTGTACCTACAGGACAAGGCCAGATATAGTGAGGTAGTGCACACATAATGCTAGATAGTGGGAAGGTGGTACAAAGTCTCTGATATGCCTCGAATTATTAATACAACTCCTGGCGGCGGTTACGCAATTCTCTACGGTTTGTCGCTGGCTGAATGAATGCTTTCTACGGGCAAAGGTCCTGGAACTAGGGTGTCAGTGATCTCCTCCATAGATCTAGAAACCTGCTAAACCTTACTGGTATAAAGCAACGAGGGTTCCATCGTGTATAATCAAGCTTTGGACCGACAGTTCAGACTTGGATCCTGCACTCATGATGCTGATGAAATAACTAATGATTAGCAGACATTTGAAAAGGCATAACAGTCAGCCTACCTCTCCGATGATTGCAAATGTTCCGGAAGATCTTTGAGCCAGATATCTAATGACCTCTCTTGCCCCAGCGCTAGATCCATAACCCTCTTCTGTCCAACCTTACTTCCAAGTTCGCTTATCTCACTCGGCGACTGAATGCTTTGCACTTCCCCAGACACTTTGCAAAGCCCAATGAGATCTAGGAAGCCCGATAGAGCTGATCGTTGGTTCATGCCATTGTCTAAAGTTCCCTCCACATTGTATAGCGTATCTAGTTCCTCGTCTGCAAGTGGCAGTGGCAAGGCACAGGAGCAATCGCTATCATTTGCGGCCATTGGCCTGCCGAGACAGATAGAAGTAATTCTACGGCGATTAGTGGACGAGGCATCAAACACGCCTCCGAACATACCTATCTAAGCAGTAGATGCTCCACCAGATTCTTCTGCAGACTTCAACCTCAATTGAAGCTGCTGGAGTTCTTAAGGACTCCGTGGTTGCCGTTGTCTATTCCTGGTCAGTTGAATTTATCAGCATTTAAGAGTCCTGCTCACTAACTATTTCCAAATGCATCCCCAGTTCTTGGCTAGCCCTTACAGCTTGACCAGCAAAATTCCAGCTCGTTGATAAAGTATTCCAACCAGCACAGCACATCGACATCAATGCTAAGCACTGTGCCCGATACTTAGTAGCTTGGCCAGTGGTAGCGCAGTGCAAGACCAGAGCCTTCTCGTAGAACTCAAGCCCAGGGAAGGATGAGTGATTCCCGTCAGGAGCAGTCAAACTTGATGCGCAAGCACAAACCGCGAAGAAGACCGAAAGGAACCCACTATCCTGCAAAGAGCCTCTTGGTGAAGTGTATAAACCCTTGTAGCTTTCGACGAAATGCGGCTTGTAAAGTACAGGAAAGGTATAGTGGTAATGCTCGAAGTATAGGCCAACTAGCATATCAGCCATGTATTTCGGTGGTAGATTCATGTCCTCTGCCTTGGGGAGGTAGGGTAGGTCACGCCATCTGAGACCATGGATAAAGAAGGGGAGCTCAGGTTTCGGTCTTTCTATCATCCGAGTTGTGTCTTGTTGGCTTCCGACGGAGTAAGGGGAATCATCGGAGCCCTGACATGGTGACAGTGTCAAACTATCAACCGCCTGCAACAGAAACTCATTATTTGCGCCACCAACGAACCTACCCAGATTAGCACATACCACAAGCAGGATTTGGGGAGAATGACCTTAGAGCGCCATATGAGTCGTGGACCAAAGATCCAAATGCTTGAGTTCCGAGCTCTCCAGAATTATTCACTTGCTCTTGGCTCTTGTCGGTATGTTGGTCGTCAGCGTCACTGGGACGTGGTTGAGAGTGACCGTTACTTCCAGAGTCAGTAATGGTACTGCCTGTCGCTAAAACGCTGTCCTGTTGAGGTAGTATACTCTGATCGGACGGCACAGATGGAGGGGTATGGGAACAAGCATCAGTGCACCCTCCCTGAGGCAGTTTGTCAATAGCTTTTGTTAGTTGTGCTGCTACAACCTGTAACCTTTGACAAAGCTCATCAAGCTCCCGATAACGAGCTTCATACATAGCTGCATAACTATGAGATGTCAGCACTGATCCACAACTAGATATGGTACTATGCCAGAGACTTGCGACTGTGAGATGCATTGTCATTGCTGCCAGGATACTCGCATGCAAGGTCGCGGGAGTCGCAATTATGACAGGGGTTATTCCCGTCACACTTGATCTACTTGCAGGGTAAGACAGCGCATCATGAACATACAAGTAATTCAAGACAGACCTTTTTCCTTCGACAAGTCACGCATGCCTGCCAAACTCGTGATGTGATAGCCTGTGAATCCATGATCTCGGTATGAATCTTGACAATGCTGAACGTACGTGGAATAGAAACGGGACGAATGTACAACGTTATTGAGGATTCAGGAGCAGTACTGGAGGATGAAAGGGCGGGGCACATGGTTAGCGATATCGGAATCACTTCTGTTGGCCGAACTAAGGAGCTTATCTTCATTCCTCAACGCTATCCTTATCACGAATAAGGAGAAAGTCAATAGTGACGATCGGCTGAGCGCGGGGTTGACCCACTCCGGACCGAGCTCCGGCCGAGCTATCCCATGTAAGTCATCACATCAATATGGCCAGTTGACCGATCAACTTTTAACTTCTTTGTTGTGCAGATAAAATTCAAAATGGCTTATCAAACTCTCTCTCCAGTGGTCAATACCCCCGGGAAAACACGCCTCCAAGAATCTTTAGAGCGAGCTCGAGATCGCCGAGGCCCAAGCCTGGGACAATGGCTTGCGTTACCGGGACATGCCCTCGCCAAAACCATTGCACCTCTTGGTCAAGATGTCAGTCCATCAGCTCTAAGACATATTTAATGCAACTAACATGGCAGTGGGTTCTTATTGACTGTGAGCATGGCCATATCGATGACCACAACATGTACCTTCAAATCAGTGCCATTTCGTCAAGTGGCGTGTCACCGGTTGTCAGAATTCCGGCTGGTGAGCCGTGGATGGTGAAGCGAGCACTAGATGCAGGAGCTCATGCGATCATGGTACCTATGTGCGAGACAAAGGAAGAGGCGATACAGATCGTTGAATCCGCCAAATACCCCTCAAAGAGATACCCGAATGGTTTCCGGGGCACTGGTGCCATGTTTGCTCCAGCAGCTTTCAACCTGACCGGCCGTGAGTATTTGCTCAACGCAAATAGCAATGTGATGGTATTCGTGCAAATCGAGTCTCGCAAAGGCGTGGAAAACGTTGAGGAGATTGCCAAGGTCGATGGCATTGGTATGTTGGCGGCCACGCTGGATCTCATCACAGATTTGTTGACGATACTGCGATAGATATGCTATTTATCGGACCAAATGACCTTGCATCCTCACTAGGATACGTTGCCTTCGATCATGCAACAACACCGGAAGTGCAACAGACGACTCAACGGATTCTAGACGCAACTTTGGCAGCTGGAAAGTATGCAGGACATTTTGCTCTTGATGCAGCAACTGGTAGGTGGCAGGGCCCAGGATCTCTGAAAGACTGTATCTGGTATGCTAATTTTTACGTAGCTGCTCAGCGATATGAGCAAGGGTTCGATTTTGTGAACTGCGGTGCGGATATTGTGGCACTTACATCTCAAATGTCAGCCGAGATTCGGAAGGCAAAGGATTTAACGAAAAAGAGCTTGGCCGGTAATGATGCAAATGTAAGCAGCTTGGAAAGCGACGTGGAAGGATTAGAAGGCAGGGATAACGATAGTGTAGATGCCATGAAGCTCTACTAGTAGATTACACATAATAAGCTGCCGTGAACCCCGGGCAGAAGTTCAGCTCCGATCTCCATTATATAAGAAATGTTTAGCTACGACTTATACTCCATAATGAACATATGGAACCCATTGCGGCAATTTAGATACGGTTTCATCTTCATCTTCATCCAAGGCTTCAATATCACGGGCTTCAAATATCTCTCCTCTCTCATCTTCTAGAATGGGGCTTGCCTTTCTCTTACGACCACGAGTTGGAGTCTGTTCTTTGAACCATTGATCGCGCAGCTCCAATGTCGCTTTATGTAAGCCTCGACATACCGACCCATCTGCCGAGTCACCTCGTTGAATAGATCCGTAGGTGATCCTTGCCATATGAACACTGATATCATCGCCAACTTCCCAAAGAGTGCCAATAACATGGCGAAATCCAGCTAGCTGAAAGGCACTGATAAGATGAATGCTTTCATCAAGGAACTTCTCATGAGCAATCTGTCCAGTACCGCATGCCGAGAGGTATGCAAGGAATGGCGAGTATTGATGGATGTTAGTTTCGAGGAGGTTTGACACAGTTAGAGGCTCATCCTCCAACAGAAGGCTACTTTGAGAAGGGTCGCGTAGGTTGGTGGCACCGTGGCCAGCAAAGTGGAAGATTTTACAACCCGGAAGCTGCGAAACAATGTCTTCTTTGAGGGACTTTGGTTCAACTACTTCAAAATCTTTGGACTCGCAGATGGGACGTAGCTGAGCTATTTCTTTGCCAGCCGAAGGGAGTGTACTGTACCCTGGTGTTCGCTCCATGGATACAAGGACGGCCCGCTCGTTGCTCAAGGGAACCAGGTTTAGACCTGCACGACCCCGAGTCCGGATAATGGCTCTGATAGATGAGCTATATGATGACATGGCTCTGTCGATCACAGTGTCTCGTGACCCTTCGTAATGTCGGCCAGCTGCATGGAGAGGGTATATGCTCAATACGCCTGTTGGGATCCACCAAATTCGTGGCGGGCGCTCTTCAGGACAAACCTCATTGATACCTAGTGCACCAAGGACGGGTTCAGCAACAGTATGCCACAACCACTCGAGTATCTTTGGACTCGAAGTATGAGCTTGTTGGGTATTGGACCTTATATCCTGGATCATAAGCTGAGGCAACGGAATGTTGTGGATCTTGTTGTGCTCCACGAGAATAGCGTCACGGCGGAATTCGCTGACGTTGATGACAACAATTGCTCCCGGAATGGCAGCATCTTTGATGTTTGATTCGCTTGGCGCAGAGAGAAAGTCTTCAAATCCGGGCTTTTGGCGGATCTCGCCAAGTAGTCCGCGAAGCTCGTCCAGGTCATGGTTCACATTGGCATGTCCGCCTGATAACGAAGGCCCGTGGATCTCATCACTAGAAGAACCGATAGTCCCAAAAGAACGGATTTGACCTTGCAATCGGTTTAGGCGCTCAGCGAGTTCGGGATGCTCAGCGAGTTCGGGATGCTCAGCCCGCAGATCAAGGCTTTCCATCCGTGATTCTTAAACGGATGCTGCCATCATTCCACGTCCTTGTTCAAGAAACCGTATTGCAGCAAGAGCTCCTTTGTTTGCCGAGAGTGCCACAGCTGCTGCATCGGATGATAAGCCATAAACCTGGACCAGTGCACCTTGCTTATCAGCATTGCTAGTAGTCTGTGCAATGAGATTGGGAACAAGATCCATCGCAGTCTTGACAGCTTCATAAGCCTTATCCCAGTCAGGTACAGCCGCGTAGTACTGGACGAGCTCTTTTCCTGCACGGATGCGAGCATCGTCGTAAGTGCTAGGGCTATTCAAGGCAGATTCTAAGTGTGCAATGGCAGCATCGAGATGTTCTTTTTCTTTCGTCCTCCAGAACAAATCACCATATCGACCACCTAGGTTGACCAGCCTATTCGCACGCTCCGGATGGTTTTCTCCCGTGGCACCTAGTGCTTCTTGCCCATAATGGATGGCTTCGTGTAAGTGGCTCGACACTCCAGTCTTTTTGGACAAGTCACTCAACTGGACTGCCAGGGTGTTGAGACAAGCGGCTCTATTGGCATGGTCTTCCGGTGTCAGGTCGACAGCTTGCCGCCCAAGTCTCAACGCCTCTTCAAGGTCCTCCAACTTTTGTGTAAGTTTGTATTTCGTAGTGAGAAGAGTCGCAAGGTTGTGAAAGGTTGCAAATATGTCGGGGTGATTCTTATGGACGGCCTGTACAGCCTTTCTCTGAACACTGATTGCTTCCTCGAGAACCTCTGGGTCATCCGTTCTGAAGTATTCGTGCTTCAAAACGATTGCTAGGTTGGAGAGGTTCTTTGACTTGCTATCGTCGTCGGGGCTCAGTTCACAAGCCTTTCTTCCGACTTGTATCGCTTGCTTCAAATCAGCCACGGTTCCTATCCTCCTGTATTTTCGACTGAGCTGGATGCCAAAGTTGCTGAGGCATTTATGTCTGTCCAAGTATACCTCTTCATCTGCAACACGATCACAGACCATTTCGAAAATGTGAATGGACTCTTCAAGATCGCTAATATTTCCCGTCCTGAGGTATCGATCACCAAGGAAATTAGCGTAGTTGCTCAGCTGGGCCATGCGCTCCAGACTATCCTCTTCAGTGACTTCAATAGCCTGTTTCACCACCTCGATGGCTTCGTCAAGATCGGCTTGGTCACCATGTGCATCGTATCTTTCGCTTAAACCTAGCGAGAGGTTTCCCAGTCTCTCGAGAAGCTGGGGCGAGTTTACATCCGTCTGTGCTATGACATCACGACATATTTGAATCGCTTCATCGAGATCTTCCTTATTTCCAAGCACTTGGTGTCGGGCTGTAAGAGGAGCAGCCAGGTTGGCTAGAAAAAGGACACGCTTAGGATTGCTAATTGGCGTTACCTCCACAGCCTCTCGTTGGACTGCAATGTTTTCTTCGATAAGTGCCAGCTCTCGCATCTGCATGAAGAGCAATCCTAGCTTTGTGGATAACTGGTCAAGAATTGTTCCCCGGTTTGGGTAGTTTTCTGGCAGAGCTGCGATTGCGTCTCGCGAAGCTTTAATGGAGTCTTGAAGTCCTTGAACATTTTGTGGATCACTTCTTGGGTATTTCTCGTGCCAGTAGACAGAGAGGTTGATCAGACGTGAAGTTCGCTGTCTGTTACTCTCAGGCGTGAGGTCAATAGCCTTGGTTTCCATGCTGATAGCTTTGTCAAGGTCAGCCATGAATCCGACTCTTCTGTATCGGGTGAAGTATCGATGAGCGACTTTGAACATCTGATCTGGGACATAAACATGGCTATCAGAAATGGCGTCGAGGATTGCCTCCTCTTTCGCGATTTCTTCAGGATCTGACATGATAGGCGTCAAGGTAGATGAGTGTGACTGCGTGTTTGTACCCGTAATGAGCAAGACAGAAGCAAACAATCAGGTTGCCGGATTGCGAAGATAAATCCAAGACCAAGACGATGAATTTGAGTTGAGCTTATCAATGGCATGATTACTACCCCGCTCGAATGTATGCAAGGTGAGATCAGGCTGAAACAGCATGTTGCGTTTGTACGGTCGCCTCTTTGCAGCTGGGGCCTATGAGGAGCCAGACAGCCTCTTTGAGCTTTTATTGAGCGTTGTTAACTTCATGGCGGGGCTGTTTGCAGCCGTGAATAATAGAACCAACAGGGGATTACGAGAGACTTCAATGGCCCATCGACGGCAGATTTTCTCTTCAATACACTGACAGGCACCTCCGCTTTCAGCCTGTGTGATACCAAACTCCCCAGTGGAGTGATGATGTTCAACCAAACCGTATATGGTAACATTGGGTATGCTACTGGTGCCATTGTTGGAGTTGGCCAGGCTATCAAGGAAAGCGAAGGAAAGTGGAAGAGGCTTATTCTGGTCACTGGAGAAGGCTCCATGCACCTCACTATTCAGGCACTGGCAGACATGCTGCGGTGAGACCTCAAGCCAATCATGTAAGTACTTACCTTCTTCACAGTTCTGACGACAGCCTTTGGCATTTGTTGACATATTCCAGATTCGTGCTCAACAATGGCGGATACACAGTCGAGCGTCTAATCCACGGCAAGGAAGCCTTTTATAATGAGGTTGCAGTTCTGGACTATTCCATGCTCGGCAAGACTTTCGGACCAGCGGATCCAAGTACTACGGGCCTATCAAGACTTCCGGAGAGCTATTGTCACTCCTTGAAGACCCCAACTTTGGCAATGTAGACTGCCTTGATTTGAGTTTTCATCCCATTTCACCTTGATCGAGAGACGTTACTGATGAAACGCAGTTGCTCGAACTTGTCTTGCCTCCTCTCGACGCACCCTCTGCTGTCATCAAGACTGGTGCTGCTATCGATGCTTCCAACAAGGCCAAGGCTGAGCAGGGACTCAGCGGTCTTCAGGGTGCTCAATGATCAATCAAATCGTTGTATGATTGTCTCAGGATGGAAATGGTGTTGGTTTTAAATCGCTTGTTCTGTTCACTAGTTCAGCGCAGCCAATTTTCAGCACATAATTAACTTGACCCCATCGAGGGTAATGAATTTGGAGTGACGTCATTAGCTCTGTAGGCGCGCCCTACAATTGACTGCATCCGCATTTTGTACTCCACCATCGAACTACAAAACTCTAAGAACTTAAGAAAACGTCTGGCTCCAGTGCATTGAAATACATCAAGTAAACATTCTCTGTGATCACCAATACACTCAAGGGTAGCTCTCAAGTGCACAACCATGTCGCTGATGGCCAACGATCCTGGCGAGCTCTCGCTCAGCAAGCTCCTCTCAACCCTAACCCATACGGTCCATCCAACCACCTACGTCTTCGCCACGTTCACCGACACCTCCAAGCTGCCAGCCCTGTCCGAAGCACAAATGATCTTCAAAGAGTCCGAAGGAATTACATTGATTGTCAGCAAGGACTACGCGGAATCAAACAAGATCGAATACTTCTTCCCATGCAAGATGATCACTCTCGATGTCACATCGAGCCTGGAAGCTGTCGGATTCATGGCGGTTATCGCGACTAGACTAGCGGCCAAGGGCATTGGTTGCAACCCTGTTAGCGGTTTCTACCATGATCATATTTTTGTGCCTCTTGGACGGGAAGAGGAGTCATCAGAAGTGTTGACCCGATTAGCGGCGGAGAAAAAGGAAGAGATTGAGAAGGCATAAGAACAAGGGCCGTGGAGGAAGACGTATCAACCTTGGGAGACTACTCGACATAGGACATAGAATGTTAAGGTCACAAGATTTTATTATGTCCAGTAAAATACTCTCTCAATAGCCAGACCTAAATTGCCGATATATCACTTCAAAAGCCACTTGATCCCTTCGACAAGATCGACAGCTGCTTTCTTACCCTGGCTCAAATGTGCGAAAGCGCCCCAGAAGATATGAGGCATACCAGGATAAATATCCAGTCGCGTCTCAACTCCATTATCCTCGCGCAACACTTGCTCGTAGATCAAAGCCTCGTCGCGAAGGACATCCATTCCACAGATTTGGAAATAAGTTTTCGGTAAGCCGTGGTGGCCCGTTGGCCAGATAAGCGGAACAAAGAGCGGCGAGGACACATCCCCACCCGCAGAGTCATGGAAAACCTTGTCCAAAGCTGGGGTGAGAATGGGGTCATCTTTACACTCAGCTTGAGTCCGAGACAGATAAAGCTCTTTATACTTCTCCGGCAATGCATCTTTCTTCTCTGGTGGCAGTATCATTGGAGCGAGCAGAAAGACGCCAGTTATCGCAGGAGTCAACTTCTCATCTCGTGCCATATGGCTGGCTATAGCAGCCATGTTTCCTCCAGCTGATGAACCACCAATGACAAATCCTTTCGATAATGAGACCTCCAGCTCGGACTCTGCATTTGCAGCAAACCATTTCAAGCCGTCCCAGACATCATTGATACTAGTCGGAAACGGGTCTTCAGGTCCTTGCCGATATGAAGGCGCCAGACAAACGACCCCTAGCTTGTGAACAATATCCCGACACGAGCGCTCGGCATCTTCCGGAGACCCGATAGTCCATCCGCCACCATGAATGTAAACAATCAACGGCGGAAGTGACTCGGACCTTTCTGCTGGCTCGTAGACATGAGCGCGCAATGTGTGGCCATCTCTTGCAGTGTAATAGATATCGCGCTCAACAACACCACTCTCGGGATCGGGCTGCTTATGTAGGCTTTTCATATACCATCTCAAACTCGCAATTGCCTTCGCTGGATCAGAAGTGTCAATCTGGGGAATAGTTATTGTTTTGAGGTACTGGGCCATATCAGCTTGAGGTCATTCATGTCACTGCTGGAGACTTACGTCGTCTAGCTCAGGATCAATAGTCGCGAGTTGTAGTCGTTCGTCTCTTGCAATTACCATCTTAGCGTCCAGTAGTCAGTATATGAGAGATTGTCTAGAGTGTATGAGAATAAAGGTGAATGGCACATCCAAGTTGACCAGAAATAGTGCTCCAACCCCGGAGTTAACGGTCTTATCGCATGTGTAAATGAACAATGGCTCAATTGCATCTATTGCGCTTGCTACTATGCTGGGCTCAGGGAGCAAGAAAACATCAGAAATTGATATAAACTCAGCAAAAAGCATCCTAAAAATATACTAAACTTATTCTAAACTTATACTGATTTTCCTTAATTACCAAGTCTTTTCGTCATTTAGAATCAAAGTCCTGAGTTTTCTTTCTTCCCGAGCTAGAATTCTCACATCGGTATTAAGATTCGGACATAATGATTACATTCTCCCAATAGGTGTTCCTGCGTCCCGCCTTTCATCTTCTACTTCGGATACCAGGACCAGCCTAGATCATCTAGGCCTGCTCACTGACAGCTCGAATAAGCACCAATCCTTTATCCAATGAGGTTGACGTTATCGGTGGCTTCAGGCCTCTTTTCCGAGAAAGCCTTTGACTCCTCCTTTCGCTGGCTATCACCCAGTGAAACACGTCTCCTAGCATCAATATACACCATGTACTCCTCATACGTATGCGGCAAGACCTTAAGATCTTTGGGCACAGAAAAGGTGTAGTTGAACTGACCAGTTGGCTTTGCAACACCATGCTCAACATCACGGACCTTGCTGTCAACTCGAACATGGACACGAGTCATGGGCTTCTCGGGGTTTGGGAAGCCAGGCTCAGTGCCGTCTTCCTCCAATAGAGGAGGATCGGTGTATGCGACAGTGGCCGTCAGGTACAAAACGCTACCCACAGGAACGGGATTTCGGAACGTGCAAGGATCAGCGCTGATAAAGGTCGGTCGGGCATGAGCAAAACTGGCCGCACAACAGAACGCAAGCTCAAAAGTCTGTTTCAAGTGGAAACCACCAAATATCATGGTCTGGTGACGATTTCGGTACTGAGGTTGCATGATGGCGGCCGTTGAAAGTTGGGTCTTGGACATAGCGACGACGTTGGACGGTTGACGAAGATCATTGTTGGGGTCATGGTAGGCAAGTTGCCTCAACCAAATCTGATGAATCAGAGCGGATTCTGCATCGTTGGGTTCAGTCTGAAGAAGCGAAGCCTTGGAGTTTTCCTTTTTGGACAGCGACTTTGCCTCTCCAGCCTTAAAGATCTTCTCTTCCTCTGCATTGGTGGGGACCAGCTTGGGGATGTTGACCGGCTTTCTTGTGTTGGGATCCAGGGCGACCATTGTGAAGGTGCATGTCAAAAGGACATCCTCGGGCTTGCTGGGCTCGCCTTCTTCTCTAGCCTTGGCGACTTTGCAGGTGATTTCGACACTGCTCCTGCCAGAAGCATAAGTGACCTGGCCGCTGTACTCGAGGTCGCAAATTTCGGTGAGTGGATGCGCTATTGTGATACGGTCCAAAGCGGCGGTCACTGTAGTGACTCCAGGACCGGTATGTTTGTAGACGATGATTCCAGAGAGTGCATCGAGGTCCATGAATAATGTTCCAAGTCTATAAATTTGATTAGTGCGATGCGTGTGATTGAGTTAGTCGGCACGGTCACCTTATGTGACCCGAAGAGTTGACATAAGTGTCTGACAGCCAAGGGTCTTTCTTGAGAGGAAGCACGACACGATGATAGCTATCGCTCATTTTCTTGGGGGTCAGATCGCGCTCCTTGGGATAGTCTTCGGACTTGTGAGCCGGCAGACCCTTTTGCTGACGTTCAAACGCCTCTATCCACGGCATCGGTTGCCTCTTGTCCTCGAGGCCCTGAAATACGCCATCTGTTTTGGTCGGGGTTGTTGTATGGAAGCTGTTGGCATTGGGACGCGCCAATGCAGGACTGAATGATCGCAGTACATGCGGCCTGCGCAGTGAAGCTACAACGCTTCTTGCTTCTCGACTTCTGGACATCATGGTGAATGTGAGTTGTGAAAATGAAGTTCAATTGTTGATGGTCGTGTGACGCAATGTTCAAGTTCGCTGGCGGATCTGATTTAGCGAACCGTAAAAACCCGATAAGTCAGCGAGACGCTAAGATAAGACCCTCGCGGACTTTGATAACCGAGCTTGTATGAGACTTTAACGGCGGATGAAACCGGCTTCATGGAAATGAATCTGCGGTACAATAATTCCAGTCAAACTTTTGCAGAAGGCGATCAAATATTTTTATTCCGGTTGTCAGTAAAACTCGATGTTCCTGCATAATTGTATGGGTCTGGCGGTGGAACCACCACCAACTAATCAACCAACCAACGAGAACATTCGCTTATGCATTTGGACATGGACATATCCTTGCTGATTGTGAGATGTGACCTGTCTGGAGTGTCTTATCATCTTGCGACGGCACTGTGTCTCAAATGATCGATAATGTGATGAAGAAGCTGGGTGAGAAAGCGTTCATCTATCGAAATTTTAGTGGTAAAAGGATGTAAGTCAGGATAAAGATTAAGACTATCAATTCACTATTGTACAAAAAGCTTCAGCGATGTCTGCCCAAGCATCGTTGTGTCACAAGTGCAACATCAAAATTCCAGCTTTGAGACACTGTCCCACTTCTCATCAGATTCAGCAAGAGCCTTGGCCGCCATGTGGGCATATTGGAGCGCATCCTTGCCCAAGATGATTCTTAATGGGGGGTCCTCCACATTCGAAAGGTGAATAATAGCTCTAGCTATCTCAGACGCCTCCGTCCACGTTGAGTGTCCCTTGACCAGCTGGATCATCTGGCCAACAGTCTGCTCATAAGGCTCGCTGACCTTGGCCGTCTCAGTGGCAGTGGTGGCCCAGTCAGTCTTGATGCCACCTGGCTCGGCAACAGTGACCTTGATACCGAAGGGGGCCACTTCTTGTGATAGGACAGTAGAAAATCCTCCAACGGCCCATTTGGCACTCTGGTAAGCTGCTGCTCCGGGTGTACCGACACGGCCTCCGACACTTGAGACTTGAATAACGTGGCCGGACTTTTGTTTGCGCATGATGGGCACTATGGCTTTCGTAACATTGACGACTCCGAAAAGGTTGACATCAACCTGCTCGCGGAAGCCTTTGATGTCTGCATCTTCGATGGATGCCATGTCTGCGTAGCCGGCGTTGTTGACGACAACGTCGATGCGGCCAAACTTGTCAACAGCTTCCTTGGCTGCCTTGTTGGCTTGTTCAAAGTCTGTTACATCAAGGGCAGTTGCGAGTATCTTGTCAGATCCATACTTGGCGACAATGTCGTCGAGCTGAGATGGGTTGCGAGCAGTTGCGACAACGACATCGCCTGACTCGAGGATCTTTTCGACCAAGGCGCGGCCAACTCCTCGAGAAGAACCAGTGATGAACCAGACTCGGGCCATATTGAAAACAGAGTGTTTTGTAGGTGGTAAAAGGTAAATTGTAGTTGTGTGTAATTATCAGAGAAGCTTGAGGAGATGTCAATGGTTTGTGTCCTGGCAAAGGAGAACCAAGACGGTTTAAATAAGAATCATCTTTTGCACAGTTCTAAATTTTGTTCTTCTCTACAGTCCAAATGGCGGAGTTTGATACGAAAACTATGGCACGCCATTCCTACACAGCCCCATGTCCGCATTAGACTATCCAGTAGAGAAGGGGGATTTACAAGAAGCATTGACGGAATCGGGAAGTTGTCAACTCTAATGTATGCACGTTGTGATCCACTCCGGCAATTGCAGCCTATCTCCGGGTGTTGGCGTGCACCTTTGAAGGCCACTGCGTGGTCGCGGACATAACTTTGGGGGGAGATAAGCGGCGTTTAATATTTTCCTGCGTTACACTGCATGAAAAACGTCACAGGCCTGGCTTATCGATTGGCTTATTTTTCTCAGTGGCTTCTGCTGTTTTGGGGTGCTGATTTTTTGGCTTACTGGCTTATGGCTGACGACCCACCGCCGCAGGGTAGTGAGCATCAAAAGGCCAAAACTGAACTTCAAGCTCCGTATCAAGCCAGGAGATCAAATATCCAGACAAAAGATTGTGCATTTCGGTTTGAGCATTGAAGTATGGCAAATTGCCCTTCCCCCAGGACCTCCTCGTTTGTCTATAATGTAACTGTTTGGTGCTTGTGTATGTTTATAGCGAAAACAGGTCGTTTGCTCCGTATGCGACAACAAAACACAATCAATACAATTGCTATTACGATCGGCTTTTGGAAAGACTGTGCTGAGTTTTCTTCCGGGATCGAAGGGCGATCTATCACATGGAGACGTTGGCGAAATTATTGTCAGTGAGGCAACTTTATGATAATTCTGCCTTGAGATCTGCCTGAACCCCGCTTCAAATTCGATCTGCCTCGCGACGAGGCGGGAGCGTCTTGCCTAAACTCTACTCTCGAGGAAAGCGACTTCAATTACTTCTACCGTCTCAAAGTTGAGAGCGCTTAATTCCAACCTTGAGAATATTTTCTATCAAATTAAAGAGCAAGATGGTGAACCACAGCAAACTTTGCAGCGTCTGTTTCGATATGTTGCAAACAGGTTTGGAAGCAGTCGAGAATAGTCTCCACGCAGAGTGCCAGCACCACAGCACTTTCTCTAGCTTCAAACAGGCCGTGGATGGGGGATGCTATATATGTGCTAAACTTTGGGACTCCGTGGCAGATGTATCGATCGACGGCTGGTCCAACGAACCTGGTACATGGGTACCCTTTGACTGCGGCCTGGGGCGACGAGCCTGGGCACCTGGCTGGTACGGAGCTATCTATTGGCACATAAGATACTTAGAGTTCGAAATTGGACCAGGCATCGACTTAAAGTACAAAGGAAACGTGTTTTGTTTCCTTCCGTGTGCGGGTTTGCTTACTCCCCTTCCCATCAAGCTTGGTATAACCACTAAGGTGTTCAGACGAGGAGTCTTCGATGCTGCAGGAATGGGCCGCGGACTTCCAAGCCAGTACCTCATCAGAAAAAGTCCACCGGCTGGCTTCCGGGTGGTACGAAGCATGTAGCCAATCGCACGAATTGTGTCATCGATTGCGGTCTTCGCCCAACTTTGCCCCATCGCGGCTCATCGACATTGGTTCTGGTGATATCTGGAAGCTTTGTCTTTACCCACAAGATATCATAGATCCTCCAGAATATATGACTCTGAGTTATAGATGGGCTAAAGCCCCTTCGATTAGCCTATTCAACTCGAATTTTGAAGTCTTCCGCAAGGGTGCACCGATATCTCAACTTCCCAAGACATTCAGGGAAGCCATCACTGTTGCCCGTCGATTATCTATCAGGTATCTCTGGATCGACTCACTGTGCATTATTCAAGATTCGCCAGAAGATTGGGCCCGAGAATCACTCCAGATGCATTTGGTCTATGCCAACTCTGCCTGCACCATCTCCGCAACCGCTTCCGAAGGCCCTGATGAAGGATTATTTCGTGTACGCACTGCTCGGGAAACACTTGTAGGGCACATCAAGGTTCCATTCGCCGATGGAAAACCTAGAAGATTTGACGTTTGGGACCAGCATCATATGCAGCGACTAACACAAGGTCCACTCACCGATCGTGGATGGATATTCCAGGAGCGTATTCTGTCGCCAAGAGTGCTTCATTTCACCAAAACCCAGGCTGTATGGGAATGCTTTGAGATGAACAAAAGTGAGATGTTTCCCCACTGGTCGCCTCAACCCACCGACGCAGTGTACACTCCTGACCTGAAGGCTATTGATGCGTTCTTTGACGATGGTCATCGCCGAACTGCCTGGGCAAAAGAAGAAGACAAGACAATGACCGTGGATGTCTATCAGCAGTGGACAAATCTGGTCAAGACCTACTCCAAATGCAGTCTAACATACCCCGATGACCGGCTGATGGCGATGGCTGGTATAGCCGAGATGTTCAAGAAGAATTCTGGCGATGAATATCTAGCAGGTCTCTGGAAGTCAAGGATCGTTGAAGGACTCAACTGGGTTGTACTAGAACCTAGACCCCGACCCCAAAATCCTGATCGCGTTCCGTCATGGTCATGGGCTGCCGTTGACTCTGGTGTTTTGCCTCAGAGGACAAATTTACCGCGAGACGAAGACCTGATCGAAATCATCGATGTTAGAAGTCATCTTGTTGAAACTTCCTCTCGGTCGCAGCAAGTGAAGGGGTCGATTCAGCTACGAGGGTGTATCTGCGAAGGCATTGTCCGTGAAAGCAGCAGGAGGATAGGCGCACAAAACATCGGATTGAAGCTTTTGGAAATGTCGGCAACGATCTACGCCTACCCAGATACACTGGAGACGACTTTTCAGAGTGGGGAATCGCTTTCGTTTCTGCCCTTGAGGTCGACATTACGGCGCCAGGTAAATGATCCAGATAAGAATCCAGTTGGGGAAGCCTTTGTGATAATTGAGGGTCTTATTCTTCAAGTACTTTATGGAGCTGGAAGTAGTTACAAGCGTATCGGTCTCTTTGTCCTTGATTCCCTGGACAATGCCAGTTTCTTCGGCCTTGTTGCGACCTTGCCTGAATCCGGAGGAGGTGTTCCGCTGATAAGTGCGGATGAGTCTCGAAAGTCCAACATAAGGCTAGTATAAGAAAGTCGTCCCATAATAGATGGTGCGTACCGTCCGTTACTATTGTGAGTAATACCCTACACTTTGTGCATGAGCCGAGGGAACATCAATCTGGGGAAATAGCACGGACTTGGCTACAAACGCACTAAGAAGGTTTCCCGGGAGTAAGTGCTTATGGTGATCAACAGCCGCGGAGTAAGTCGATCTACGAAAGAATACATCGGCCCTTTCATCGATCCTCTGTTTCCATATGTTAGCATCCATGAAACGATCCTTTTGCCCTTTCAAGAACTTGATGCATATCGAGCATTACATGAGCATTACAAACGTACATATCCTGCTTCTGGGTATCATGATCCGATGCTCACGCAACTGCCGTATCTCATTACCATGGTCTTGCTCTGAGCCCGATTGGACGGAGCCGACTCGGTCCTATTCACGGCCTTGGCTTCATTTGACGGGTTGGGGTATCGCGTGGAGGCGGGACTAGTGTTTTCGGAAAGCCTGGGGATTGGTGATTGATGGGGACGAACTTGGAGAGCCAGTCATTTACGTGTCCGAAACAAGAGTTGGACGCAGGGGTCCCTGGACAGTATCCCACTTCACGGGCCCGAGACTGTTCACGGGATCAGAAAAACTACCGGCGAATTTGCTCTAGAGCTTCACATCTTAACAACTGATATGAAGTTGAAGGACTTTGAAGATGAAAGACGGGGTCAGCTTACGTCAAAATATCATCTTTGGGCATTCTGGTGGTCTCAATTCCGGCATATCCTTCAGCTTAAAGACCCGATATTATGTTATTTTTAGACGGCTCAAGTGCCGACAGCTGTAGATCTTCATCTTGAACCAATAACTATCTCACATAATTGCTATCCGACTCATAAACGAGGTTTCTCCAGCTTCGACCGACGCTAAATCCTCTAACCGGACCTCAACCGAGTTAACCGCAGTTCATCCGGCCCTTGAATCATATCAGGATAAGTCCCTGACTCGTGCAAGTGACGCTTTGAACAGGCAATATCCGGCAAACTTCGCAAAGATGGAGAGATCAATTAGACAACTGCGGGGTTGCCGAGTTCCTTTCCTGTCATGTACCCTGGTCGGTATTTCAGCTAAGTGGAACGAGGTGGTATCGAATTGTCCATCCCTTGTTCATATCATCCTATAATCTGGAGATCTGGGGCATTGCGAAAAAAACCTGGAGACCCCGCGACGTTTTGTGTCGACCCGCGCGGGAACAGTTCCGTGCTGTTGGGTGCCCGTGCAGCATCATGCCGTAGTAGTTTATAATGTCTGTTGATGCCCCCCGTTTTCCGGTCTGGCTCTTCAGATAGCGGCTATCAACAACTCCACAAATCAACTACCCACTGAGTCAATTGAGAGCCATGGCTGTGGACTCAAAGATCCAGCCTCCGTCTGGGGGTATTGAGGCTGTTTTGCCGAACCAGAATATACCATGGTACAAGCAAGCCCACCTGGTCAAGCTCAATGGCTTGATCCTGGGTTTGGTATGCTTCCGTGAGTTGCTTCAGGAATGATCATTATGGCTCCTGAGAACTGACTTGAACAAGAATCTGCCATCGGATACGATGGAAGTCTACTCAACGGTCTTCAATCTCTTCCCCAATGGAGCGACTTCATGGACCATCCTTCCGGAGAATGGTCCGGCTTCATCAACGCCATTTACTTCATCGGATTCTTCGTAGCTTGCCCGCCTAGCTCATGGCTCGCAAACAAATACGGTCGTCGTCTACCAGCTCTTCTGGGCTTCATTCCGCTGGCACTTGGTACTGGTCTCCAGACAGGTGCTAAGACTGAGGCAGAATGGATCGCGGGCCGTTTCATCCTCGGTATCCCGACTGCCATGTTCGCGACATCAATCCCTCTTCTCATTACTGAGATCGCGTACCCCAGCCACCGAAGTGTCATTACTGCTTTGACTAACACTAATTATTTCATCGGCGGTATCATTGCAGCTTGGACGTGCTATGGTACAAGGAACTACACCGACTGGGCCTGGAGGATACCCACCATTCTCCAGATCGCCTTGCCTCTGGTTGCACTTCCTGCTCTGATCATGGTGCCCGAGAGTCCTCGATGGCTGGTATCTGTAGGACGGGAAGATGCAGCGCGGGAGACACTGGGAAAGCTGCACGCAGTAAGTCGAATTAGCATGATGGACGTCTATCAAACACCTTGCTAATCACTACTTTACAGGGCGGTGACGCGAATCACCCTCTTGTCGACTTCGAACTTCACGAAATTACGACCGCTATCGAATCCGAGAAACAAGCCGAGAAGTCGAGCTCCTGGGCATCGCTAGTATCCACTCCCGCCCATCGTCGTCGACTCTTCATCACGGCATCACTGGCAATTTACAGTCAGTGGGTCGGTAACGGAGTCGTCAGCTACTACCTCTCCACGGTTCTTGCCACCGTCGGTATCACCAGCGTCACCGACCAGACTCTGATTATGGGATGTCTTCAGATCTGGAGTTTCTTGGCTGCAGTTGCTGGCGCTTCGTGCGTCGAGAGACTGGGAAGACGAGTTCTTCTCATGATCTCTTGCGCGGTCATGCTTGTCAGCTTTATCCTTATCACTGCCATGTCAGGGAGCTTTGCGCAGACTGGATCACGATCGGTTGGAGTCACAATGATTCCGTTTGTGTTCCTATTCAATGCTGGTTATGCCATTGCTATGTTAGTCAACTTCGTTTTACCCCCCGTATACTCTGAATCACATGACTAACACAGCTCTTCACAGAACTCCTCTTCAGGTTGCTTATCCTCTCGAGCTTTGGCCCTTCCAGCTACGTGGCCGCGGAATCTCTGCAGCCTGGATGATTATGATCCTGGCCCTCATTTTCAACGTCTTTGTCAACCCAATCGCGTTGTCCGCCATTGGCTGGAAGTACTACATTGTTTATGTGGCTCTTCTCGTCTCCTACGGTTTCGTAATTTTCTTCTTCTATCCCGAGACACGTGGACGTACACTGGAAGAGATTTCGGTCATATTTGGTGATGCACCAGAAGGACTTTATTCAGATGAATTGGAAACGAAGCAGGTGATTGAGAAAGCTGATGTAAAGCACATCGATTAGAATTTAATGATAGAGAAGTTGTCTAGTGTACTTAGCGTAGCCCACATTGATATTATGAACCAGGAGTGACATCGTTTCCTTTGTCCTTCGCACATGGATCTCAGAGATTAGATGATCTGTGATTGTTTCTTTGCGTCTGGGTTATTGTAACACCAGTGCTCTCTGCCATTCTCATCGACACGGTCCAAATATCCAATCTCGAATGCTTTGCCATCTTGGGGTGATGTGGCCAGGGCGTCATCGCCTGCGCAACGTGTTTTGTTGCACTGCTTACATTGCTTGAGCGCCATGTCGTTTATTTCACCGCAACCCTTTGACTGTTTGTTGCACTGCCAGTAGACATGATGGCTGCTGACGTCTGTCGTAACCCGACTGAATTGTGTCATGATGGATATGTTAGATTGGCTGAATTTCGCAGTTGATGGTGGCTGATGAGGAAAGTTGGCCGTTGGGAACTGTGGTGAGACTTGTAATGAACATGGCCGCCGGCCAGTCAACTGATATAGGGTTCCTGAGAAGCCTAGAATCCCCCATTTGACTACGCATAACGTAGGTCAGAGGCCATTCAATCACAGTAAGCATCTCTGCTGCGTTTCAGCAAGTAGTTTAGGGTGATTCAAGGATCGGAGGATATGCGCCACAGAAGCTAATGCTTCCTCATCAGTGGGCTTACAGCCTTCAACACCATGATCTTACTATGGGTTAGCTATCTGATTCATGTCATTGAGATTTGATGCATGACTGAAAGAGATCTGAGGGACGTGACGCAGCACCAAGGTTTATGGTGATTACATGCTGATATCCATAGAGAACAATGTCAGATTACACTTGATCACACTGTGATGAAGCGTCACGTAAATCCAAGGCTTTCAGGATTACAGTGGAATTGTTGTTAGAAGTGAATAAACCTGAATGAAGGATAAGTATAAATGTGGTCTTTGCTACCTGGAAACAAACCTTGTGACATCTTCACTCTGCAACACAAAGCATTCATCAAGACCTCACTCAAAGAAATCTATATAAAGCAAAACACAAAGCGGTTATAGCCAGAAACCTCCATCATGGCCACTACGACGACTGTACGCAAAGACCACAAGAAGTGGAAGTGCAACAAAAACATCTCGGGAAAGCTTTGTGGCGCTATCACCTCGATGAGTAAAATTTACTGCGAGAAATGTGATAATAGGCGACAGGTTGATGATGAAGCATTTTCTGCTGATGATTCCTCGATTGGAAGGTTGTATAAACTGGATACCAGCACTCTGACAGAGCATTGGGAGTACACCAGTCCCGAGCCGCTTTGAGCACAATTATTAACTCAAGCTGACGGACAACGGCGCGATAAGTCAAAAAGAATGCTAGGGCATGGATTTTGAAAGCTCTAGAGGCTTATGGTACCTTGCTTTAATAAGCTATCATCAATTCACATTTTTTGAAGCAGAGATATTTGGCTGGTGATAACAAACATCAATTATTTGCTAGTATGTAACGCTGCAACGAGTATCATCATGTAGGACATTGGTAATATTGAACAAGCAATAGGGCAATTGAATCATGTGTAGCTATTTCACGTTGCTTTTCAAGTCTGACATTTCTACCTATTTGTCTATAGCTCTTCCGAATCCAAGTCAGTCTTCCCTCCACCTAGTGCACACTGCTTTGACTCTCTAATCAAGGCCGATGCGTTGAGTTGAACGAGGCTGCCGTTGTCCAAGTAGTCGTTCACCGTGATACCAACACCAAGGAAGAACTGCACCCCATAACCCGGTTGCCCAAACCACGGCCTGATAGGTCCAGCCTGAACGGTGAATGATTTGGTCACGTTGTACACGTGATAGTTGTTAGGAAACTCTTGGTTCTGCCCAGTGATCAGATTCCCAGGGTGGAGAGATCTTTGCGAGAAGGGAGCTGTAGCAGG